ATCAAAAGTCTTTGCAAACACAATCACATCATCGAGATACACGAGGCAAATCTGCCACTGTAGCCCACGCAAGACAACACTCATAAGTCTCTGGAACGAGCTTGGACCGTTACACACACCGAACGGCATGACTGTAAACTGGTAGTGCCCATCTGGAGTGGAGAAACCCGTTTTCTCCTTGTCTTCTTCTGCCATAGGCAGCTGATGATAGCCGGAACACAAATCCAAGGTGGAAAAGTACTTCGCGCCACTCAGCGCGTCCAACGTATCATCAATCCGTGGGAGAGGATATGGATCCCGCTCCGTAACGGCATTCAATTTGCGATAATCAACGCAAAATCGAGTTGAGCCATCCTTCTTCTTAACCAGCACTATTGGCGAAGACCAAGGACTAGTAAAATCCTCTACTACCCCTTGTTCCTTCATGCCCTTCACTAGTTCACGGGTGGCTTCCCTTGAATTCCAAGGCAATCGCCTAGGAGCCTGGAAGATAGGACTTCTTCCCTTGGTGTTAATGTTGTGGTGTTGCACAGTCGTGCGACCCAATTCAGCAGAGTTCATCGCGAATACCATCCGGTAGCGACAGACGAGATCACGCAAGCGTGCCAATTCCTCATTCCCAATTGACCCTTGCCCACCAGGCTGAACACGAGACGTCTCCCGGTTCGCCTCCGCTGTGCCCTTACCAGGTTCATAACCGAGCTGCAGCTCGTCATCCCCCGACACAGACTTCCCACTCACAGGACCTTCTAGTCCAATGTTGAGTCCCCCGTGGATTCCATTCCTATATGATCGCAATCATCCTCGTCTTCGCCCATGACACTCATCACGGCTGAAATAGGTAGCAGCTGTCCCACTCGGGCACCTCTTCCTAAAGATACTGACTCCTCTGAGCTCAATACCCGAACGGGTACACCTTCATCTGTTGGACAAACAACCGCTCGTGCCAACAAAACATCCCCACCATCGATCAGACAGCCGTCTGGTTCGGTGATGCCACGTGAAGGAACATCCTCCTTGTTCTCGATAACGGCAGCCACCGTCATCTCACAGTATGGAGGTATAACTACCCTATTCTTCAATCGAAGATTATGGCAGCGTTGTGATGTTCCCACCGTTGAAACTTCAGCCTTATCAGCCTTGAAGTTCAATTTCCCATCATTCGCGTGATCTCGCAAGGTATCTGCGATAGTACATCCCTTCCAATCAGGCAATGATACCGCAACCCTCGAATCACCTTCATCTCATGGACACAAATAGCATCCTGTATTGCCAAACATGCAGCGACCGTGCCACACACATGCAACCTCTGACCATCCGCACCGCAGAAGCCAGTCGACTTCTCTGGTGGTTCCAGGTCGCCCAACATGTAGCCCAACTGCTGCGAGAGGGTCTCAGAAATTAGACTTACTGAGGAACCCGTATCTACCAGTAACTCTACTGGCAGCCCATTAATCCTTCCCTCAATCATCATACCTCCGTGGCTTTCTGCTGCCCTGCTCAAGGCAGCGACCACTTCAGAGTCATTCTCTAGAGCATCCGAGACAATCGCCTCAGTTTCTGGACCCAGCACAGTTTCTTGATCGCAGACGCGGCCCGCCGTCTCGATCAATGCCCGTTTCCCGCCGGTCGGCGAGATTGGTACTCCCTTCCGGGTTTCATCAAGTCTGGATAGTCAGCTCTTCTGTGTCCCATTCGGCCACAGAACCAGCAAGTCAAACCCCTCAATTGTTCAGGCCTATAGTGGTCAACTCTGTCCACTTGGTCCCCTCTCCTGAATTGTTGGTTCGGCCTAGGAGGGTGGTCCTGTCCACCTGACCACTAAGCTTCTCCACCAACTTTGCCAACGACTCCAACGTAGGGAGCTCTGACGGTGCAACCGCAGCCGTCACCAATTGACGTGGTACGCCATACGCATCGTCCATTCGGCCGTGCGTGCCCTCGTTCCCCCACACCCTCTCCAGATGGTTAGCCATCTCGATCGTTTCCTGAACCGTTCGTGGTGCATTTTCCTGTAAGCGCAATCGCAACCTGTCAGGAGTCATGGAATCAATGAGCTGATCCCGCACCAACTCTTCTTGTACGTCTCCACCCATGGTCGGGTAAGCCCTGTGTACAAGACTACGCAAGTCGTCAGCCAATCGACTGACGTCTTCCTCAGGCTTGCGCCTTCGCGTTCTAAATTGCGACTTATATTGGCGGGCTGTCTCTGGTGGTGCAAACCTCCTCGACAAGTCCTCTACGACCTGAGGCCACTCCACTCGGCGGGCTTCAGGTACAGTCGCAACAAATTTTTGTGCAGCCCCTCTTAGCCGTACGGCTAAGTATTGAGCCTTTTGCACGTCATTCCACTCGTTCACACGAGCACATTGGTTGAAGTACTGCAAGTACTCCACCCAATCCCCCACGCCATCATATGCTTCAGGCATTACTGCCGGCCGTACCACCATCGCCCCACCATTTGCACCCCCTACAGCAGCGTTCGCTGCTGCATCCAGAGCCTGATTGTGAGCCATGATAATCAGAAATCGAGTGCGTTCGCTCTCAACAGGATATCTTTGTCTTTTGCAATCGCAAGACTGTGATACCTTTTCCTTGCCCAGTTGCGCCTTATATTCCCCACTTGCTACTTCGTACGGTTGTCCTCCGACCAATGAGAGCTGTTCAGGTCACAAGTACTGCACAGTACATACGTTCGTATGTACTACAGTCGTCATCGGATCACACCATTCGCGTACGGGTCAGCAAAAATCATGGTCAAACTGGTCTGTAGTACGGTATGGTGTTCAACCGATCACCAGTCCGCGCCAGTTCAACCCTCCTCATCATCAAACTACAAATCTGTAGTACGATACGGTGTTCAACCGATCACCAGTCCGCGCGCCAGTCCAACCCGCATGCGCGAGAGTGTTGGCAGTTCTGTCAACACTCTCGCCTAGCCACATCCTCTCCAAAATAGGCAACTCTGCCTTCAACAAAGAGCAATCGCTCTACATTACGATCATTGTTTGCTGCCCGGCCGTCAAATCATTCGATCTGTTCGGCTTTTAGACAACATACAACCATTATGATAATTATCCACCCCAACATTCCAGCACCCCGTCAAGTCTGTAGCATGCAAGAAACCCATCACCAGATCACTCAGAACACAAGAATTTCGATACCAACGACCATCCGGTCTTGTTTATTGAAGATCGAAATTGAAAATGTTCACAAATCATCCATGAGCAGCTCTTGTTCAAGTTCCCTCATCTGCTCGTCGAGCTCGGCAGACCACCCGGCCGCCTGTGCTTGACGAGTTTCGTGTGCCTCTTCCCGCTGCTGCTGACGCTCCACTCCGAGTTCGGCAGATTCTTCGGACGCAGTCGCGCCCTTGGAATCCGCCCTCGGAGCTTCACCGGCGGATGAAGAAGAGTCGGAATTTCCCTCAGTTCTCTTGGGGCTCGCCGGCACCGAGGAGACCGAGGAGGTCGCGGAGGATGCGGACGCACCCCCCACTTTCTCCTTAGTCGCCTCGGCAGCACGACGACCTTTTCGCTCTTTCCATTTCCGACTCTTCTTTGCCGACCGTTCGGCCGGCGTCATCCCTAGTGCTTGGAGGTCGTTGGCGTGCCGAAGCAACGGACCCAAATGTTGCGGGACTCGGCGGAGATGGCGCGCTTTCTCATGCTCCCCAAGGGCTTCCAGGGCTGCTGCCCCGCGTTCGGCGGCCTTCATCATGTTGTCGACGCTGACAGTTGTCGGAGGCATCTGTAAGCAATCGCATACAGAAGAATAGAACTTGGATCCTGGTCACAGCACCAAATATGTCGTGCCGGACATACACAATACCGATCTCAAGGCTACAACATATACATTCGCATTGCTGTAGTAACCCCACCAGGTCATCAACCAATATAGTTGATCCAAGTATCCATTCAGCCACACACGCTCACCTTGGTCATTCGAATAAGGTTGAGAGTCACTATGATTCCAGCTCGATTCAAGAGTGAAGGTCGAAGGAAGGTTGGTACTTTTGATCAGAAGCAGCAGGGGTTATATGATAACAAAAAGGATCGAGTTAGACAAAGGCGTAGCAAAGGCGGGAAAACCAACCAATCAGACCATAGAGAGCTTGTTGCTATGCAGAATTGACCAATGGGAGAAGACAAGGAGAAATGCGTATTAATTATGAATTAACTAAACAGCCAGCGTATACGATAAGACAGTTAGCAGATACAACATCCCGCGGCCCATGCATTGATAAAAGTGACAAGTAGATACAAAAGACAACTGCCGTACAAACGCGCGCTCATGAGGGGAACACGTTCACCCAACATGTTAACTAGTACCGGCAGAGTAGTTAGTTCGTCGTACAACCCGGGGAAGTTTGTCGTACAGCCCGGGAGAACCCGTCAGCTGCCGAGGCCGATATGACACATGCAGGGCGATAGTGCTGGTTCGAATTCCAGGTGATGTCTTTAAAAAAAAAGGAAAAACTTATATGAATTTATAACATCCGTATGCTTTTTTTGTCTAGGTCATCAAGGCAAAAAAGCATAGCGTAGGGCCCTGAGCTTCCGAGCTCTCTCGTGTTACACTATTTTTGCTAAGGAACTCTAGAAGTCCTTTTTCCCTTTTTCAACTCACTCAACCAATGTGCGTCTCATACATTCTGTTTGTCAAGTACTAGCAGTAGTTTGGCATTGAGCTCATCGCAGAGTGTGCCTAAAGTGGGAGCAGAAACCCCTCCCATCCTCCCCCTCCCCTCCTCCCTCCTCCCCCCCCCCCCAGCCTGTGTAGTGTAAGAGGAAGTGTGAGTTTTTTTAGGCTGAATATATTATTGAACCGTCTCTCCTGAGATGACAGCTATACCATAGCCCTTGTTTTTAACATCACTGGTCTAAATTTTTCGAATCCTGGTAGTGGCAGTCAATTTTTCTTTAGACCTTTGGTCCCTTTTCATCACCTTCAACTAATGAATAGTCCTGTTGGTGACTGTTTGTGTGATTTAGGCGGGCCGTACACCCCTGCACATAGCCTGCGAGGAAGGCTTTCCTGAGTGTGCTGAGATATTGTGCAATGCTAAAGCGCAGGTTAATTCAATAGACTCTGTAAGTATGCATAATTATGTCGTTGACTTTCAAGAACTGCAGCACATTTGAGAGCTGTGAGTGCACCTATGCAGTGTCTTGACTTGGATTTCAAGCCAATCAGGCACACTTGTACCTGGCACAACCTATGCAACCGGGCCAGCGCTGGGTCCGTCCAAGTGTGGCTACTGCATTACGGAGTTGTAACTATTTAAGACTTCTCGATGGACAGTTGTTTAAAGTCCCTGGGCTGCTTACAGTGGTTAATGTCCACTGGACAGAGCAAGTAATACAAATAGCACACAGCAATGAATCAAACAAGTCTCGCAACCTTGGCCTCCTCATACAGCAGAATCTATGCTGGAACTCGCATGTTGACTACATCATCACTAGCGACCAGGAAGATGTTCCTTCTCCTGCGACTACGCAATTCCTTAACCCTTTGCCGGTCTAACTCAATGTATGTGAGGGGTGGTCACGCAAATACATGTACACACAACCAGCAATAACTCAAGAACCATGTGATGTAGGTATGGGTAAACCATATATTTTCAAAATCTGTATGCCTGAACGCGTCCAGAAAATTCAAATATGACTAGGTCCATGCAAGGATAGGGCCCATGGTAGCCCTTCAAGTTGAGAGAAAATACAATTGCGAATGAAATACACGAATATCACAGCACGAAGGGCATACCAAGTTCGTGATGGAGCTGAAGTCGTACGATAAACAATCAGGTAAGGGCTACGTCTTTACAAGAAATGTAGGCTCTCTACAATACCGCCATTGAACACCAACACCTCGCCATCGGCGATACGCCAGCAGCAGCAATTCCCATTCCACGATATCGCAGTTTCGGTTTGTTCATCTCAATCGCTGCTCGCGTCAGATTCACTCTCGCTCAGATGAGTACTCAGGCGCGAGCTTACGCATGCCGTGATTCTCACGGCCAGGCGAATCAGCTGATCGCACCTGACGAGTCCTTGTGACAGTCGCTGTCGCTGTGTCAGCAGCAAGAAGGCTTCCTCTCTGTTTGGAGAATTTTGTTTCTTCATTCGTGGACGATATATTTTTGAACTAGCAGGACTCAACGGAGCTCTTTTTCTCAACAGATTACACTGCAAAACCTCCCGGGACATCCAGCCTGGACTGGTGATGTTACTGCTCTCAGAACACTAGTCAAACACGGCCCCAAGAGATGCACTCGCATTCTTGAAATGCGCGCATGGCGGATGGTCGTCTTTTCCAATTTCAACAAACTTCAGTCGATCGATACGGCAAAAATTTGTATGGTAAGCATGGTTGTTTTGCACATCGTCAGAAAGCCTTGGACCTCAGCTACGCGTAGAGCGCCATTTTAGCTGTCTCCTAGCAACAAGACCCCAAAAAAATGAGGGCCAAACGTACCGATACTATAGTATCGGTACGCTTATGGTAGACCGGTAAAGGGTTAAACACTTCTGCTCTCTCCTCCATCTATCTAACCTACATCCGCCCTATTCTTGAGTATGCTTGCACTGTCCTCTCACCCCTCCCCGCAACCCTGAACGACCAGCTTGAGCGCATCCAACGGCGCCCCGCTCGCTTCTGTTTGCATCTCCCCCTCTTTGAACACAGAACCCACTCCGTGCTGCTGCACCGACTCAAATGGCCATCACTCAGCAGCCGCCGTACCCTCTCCCATATCCTTCTTTCACATAGCCTGCATCATAGATATGCACCACCACACCTTCTTGCAATTCACCTACCCCGAATACAACCCAATCGCACGCTTAGGTTCCCTCGTACCTTTGAGCTACCCACAACACATACAAATCGGCTAAGGGACTCCCCCATCTATGCTTCTCTTGATCTCTTTAATAGCATTCCACTCAGCCTCCGGCATATCAACCCCAGACGAGATTTCAAAGCAAACATCCTACCACTTGTCATCTCTTCCATGTGTACTTGCTCACATTGCTCAGCACATCTATAGCTCCATTGCGCCCAGCCTATGTGATAAACTCCCTATTGCCATTGCTACTGCTTCAGCAAGTAGATAAACTTTGATCTCTCTGTATCTGATCCCCGTGCCTGTAATCATTTTTCTCTTACTGGCCACAGGCCATCGTGAGAATAAAAGATATCAAGTCTCATTCCGCTGTTACTCCGAGTTTCGTGTCAAAACACTTCATCAGACAGCATAATACCAAGACTAACAATCACTAGAATATATAAGGGAAATTCAAAAGCTCGCCAGGAGTAAGAAGCAAGTTTTGAAGCTCTGAGTGTCGTGACCACGTCCCCACCCTAGAAGCATATATGCACTGCTATTCTAACTAGTATTACCTATCTAGCATGGATGATTCCCCAGCGCCAGGCAGCCCAAAGCCTGAGCCCCCAGAGCCACTGTGGAGGTCGATGTCGCCGGCCGAATTGAAGGCCAATACCGTAATATTTGTCGACGGCCTCGCAGGCCAGAAGATAGTAGAAATTGCGGACACCCTCATCGACCAGGGTTATGCTGACGTCGCCTCCGTCCAAATTACCGGATCAGCCTGTAAGGTAACGTTCTGCAGCCAATCTACAACTAAGTCCATTGCAGAACACGGTTTCTTTCTTGGCGAAACACATATTTCTGTCCGCCATTCTCTCTCCTTGCAAGTGCACATCTTTGACATCCCGATTTGGATCTCCGATGCCGCCATCATACATGCACTCACAAAATACGGTACGGTGCAAGGCACCATTCGCCACGGCCGTACCCGCACAAAGTCGGGCGCATTTGTCGGAACAGGCGTACGCTTCGCAACTGTTCGCCTGAACAACGGCTGCAGGCAGGTGCCATCTTTCGTGCGGACAGCCGAAGGCAATACCTTCCGCGTGAAGCATGAGGGCCAGGCGCCAACTTGCCGCCTCTGCAACTCAGAAAATCACCTTGCCGGCTCCTGCCCTAAATCGAACAAGCTACAAAACACACGGACCCGCACTTCAACCAACACGCGGCAGAACCAAAACAAAGACCCAGCACCAGATCCAACACTGGCGACAGCCCTGCCAGGCCAGGCCAGCTTACCGTACGCACAGGCAGCGACCCCGGCCCCTGCCAGCACACTCGTACAGGAAATCACCGAAACAAGCAACACACAGACCCACAACGACGATCCAGCACCAGATCCGACAGCCTCCACAGGCCAGGTCAGCTTACTGTACGCACAGGTAGCGTCCCCTGTGACCTCTGCCAGCTCACCCGCACAGGAAGTCACTGAACACAGCCAGCCCAGCAAAAGTGCAGACCAGCACGGACACACTGCCAGTGCCTCTGATGAGCACCAAACTCGTACTCGTAGAACTAGTACAGATATCGATCGAGCCGACGAGAGCGCAGTCCGCGCACTATCACCCAGCGCAAGCATGTACTGCCACTCGCCAGGCTCACCTCGCACGGCAGCGGAAGACGACAGCGACGACGAGAGCCTATTTGAGGAAGATGGAAATCGCGCCGAACAACTCCTGCAGAAGCTCAATGCAGCGGAGGAAGAATGGAAACTCTACACCGGACGTCGCAGACGCAGACGCCACCAGCTAGAGCAGACGCCCGCAGGCGCACAACAGCCACATGCCTCTAAAAAACAAAAACAAAATAAGCTAGCTGACCAGAGTCCTACAGGAGTCACCATGGACCACGCCTGAACTGGAATCATCATCAACACCAGGTCCCACCAGTGAAAAAAAAAAAAATTATGAAAAACGGAAATGAAAAAAATAGCATCTCTTTCTTCTCCTTCAACGCTCGCAGTCTCTACCCCAAAATGGACGAACTGTCAGCAATAGCATCGTCAACAACGCCACCTTATGATGTCATTGCTGTCTCTGAAACATGGTGTACCCAGCACGACCCAGACTCCCTGTTTGCCCTCAGTGGATACACACTACATCGTGCAGACCGCCCAGACCGCCAAGGTGGAGGAGTGATTCTCTACGTGAACGACACTATACCTCATGAACTCGTCCCTACAACAACCCCAGACAGCTTTGACCTATTATCGCTGAAACTGTCACCCAACGACAGCACCATCAACACAACATGCGTCTACCGACCACCCCGTTGCGACCATCGGCTATTCTGCCAGCACCTTGAGGAACTGATACGGGCCATACCAACAACAACGCAAAAGATTATCCTCGGTGATTTTAATGCAAAGAACGCCGCTTGGTGCCACTCTGACACGACAGATGCTGTTGGCGAGGATCTAGCAGTGCTGTTCCAAACTTACTCTCTACACCAACATGTCACATTCCCCACTCTTGTGCAGAATGGGCACCCTAAATCCTGCCTAGATCTCGCCGTCACGGATGTAGACAGCGACTATGTCCTTATCTCTAGTCTCCCGCAGATCGGCAACTCGGACCACCTATCCATCAGGGGTTTAATCAAGCCAGTCGCTGCACCTCCTCGAGCCGTACCACCTCCCACCCATAACACCACCCATTGGAAATGGTCAAACCCAAGCATCAGCAGTCTGAAAGCCGAAATGGAATGCACACAACTGCTACCGGAAGGTCACACCCTGAACATTACCAGCATAGACAACCTGTGGCACTCATGGAAGGACAAAGTCCTCACGTGCGCCCGCAAACACTGTGCAGTACCCGTTGCGCGAAATCGCGCATCTATGAGCGACATCCACATAAACTGCTGGGACCATGGTTGTGTACTCGAATCTCATTCTGAGCACCCTTTTTTCTTCCTTTTTTCAGCCGTTTTTTGCAAAAAGTCCTCGAGCTCGATTTTTTTGATCGATCGTTCTTCAAGGAAAGACGAGTGGACAATCGATCAACAGGGCCGAGGACGAATGCGTCTGGTTGGAGTTCTTGCGTGGCACAGGATGACCAGACACACATATAGATACATTGCGACGATCTAATCTGCACAGTGTTTCCTAATACCGCACGCACGACGGTAAGTACAATTCATGTGATTTCAAATTGTTTGTGATCTACAACGTCGCGAGCAGGACGGAAATACAGCAACAGCACGACA